TGTGAAATCTGTTTTTAGTTTTTAAGGTTATTGGTAAAATGCAAGATAAGGGAGGGGTACATTCACCAAAATGAAGAAATTGTTATGAATATTGTCAGATGTTATCCACCACAATATGGTTACTGTGTGACCACGATTATTTTATTTTATTCAGGCTTTTCGTTCAGCAATCGTTGTTTTCTGTGTTTTCCGTTTGGTTTCAATAGATAGTGAAATATGCATGCCCTATAAATACTTGGAGAATTATTTCATGAACATAGATATACAAATATTCTTTTGTAAATTAATGAATTCGTTTGCAGTTTCAGGAAGAATAATAATTCATTTTTATTGCATGGTTTTCCAGCTACTGTTTCATTTACTCTTTCGTGTATTCGACTATTTTATGTCTAAAACGCAAAAAGATTATGTTTGTGCGTGTGTGTATTCATGTATCACACAACTTCACTCTAGGAATACTGGTTCTGGAAACAATAGAATTGCTACAACATTCTTTAATACTCTTAGAAACGAAGACGTAATTATGAACAGAAATTCAATTCCCTTTGTTGCAGGCTTTTGCAGCCCTTGCAGTTACAAGCAACCACTACTACATAAAACCGGTTGTCTTCAAGCACCTTTGTAACATGGTAAAACACTCATGTTGATTGCAACAAATACAATGCTGGTCACTGCAAGGGCCCTTTCGCCCCAGTGGCATTCAGTGAGATGGCGCTTCACAAAGAGCCTCTGGTCAGCAAGCAGAATCGTGAAGGAGTTGACGAAGGAGAAAGGAAGAGGGACAGAGGAGGACAGAAGCAACTTTCCTGACTCATTTGGAATCGTAGCAGCACGTGCAGTTGTTGCCGTCGCAGAGATCGCTGTCTGTCTTCCCGTCACAGTAGTCCATGATGTTGATGCATTTGCCTCTCTTGCTGGAGCACTTGGACGACGTCTTGCCGCACTCGTCCTTCTTGCAGCAAGTGCAGTGCTCGTTCTCGCAGAGATTATTCTGCGTCTTGCCAGCGCAGTTGTCCATTCTGTTGATGCAGATGCCGTTGTTTCTCTCGCACTCCTTCGGGGTGTTGCTGCACTGGTATTTCATGCAGCAGGTTTGGTCGTTGCCTCTGCAGTCGGAGTCGTCCGTGTTGCCGGCGCAGGACTGCCTGCGGCTCATGCACCTGCCGTTCTTGTTGCTGCACTGCTTCGGGGTGTCGTCGCAGTCGTCGTCGTCCTTGTCCTTGCCCTTGCCGTCGCCCTTACCCTTGCCTTTGCCTTTTCCCTTGCCCTTGCCTTTGCCCTTACCCTTGCCTTTTCCCTTGCCATTGCCTTTACCATTGTCATTGTCTTTTCCCTTGCCATTGCCCTTACCCTTGCCCTTTCCTTTGCCTTTGCCCTTTCCTTTGCCTTTACCCTTGCCTTTGCCTTTACCCTTGCCTTACCCTTGCCTTTGTCTTTACCCTTGCCTTTGCCCTTGCCCTTTCTGTCGAGCAGGTCTAGGGGGCTCTCGACATCTGGGGGAACAAACAAAAGGTCTTAGTCACACCAACAGACAAACTCCAACGGACCAACATATTCATGAACAGGAATTTAGACATAAACAAAACATTGCTTTCCTCACCCATGTCCTCGTCCTCTTCCTCGGCCGCCGAGAGTTCATTTTCCACGTCTGAAAGAAGGGGAATCGCTGTGAAGTTATGTGACAAACTGTTACAGTGAATGAATTTATCTACAGAGAAATATCAGTGGTACCAATTTGCTCATAAACCAGTGAATAAATTGTGAACACATCAGGAACACGCTTTCAGCTCTCTCAAATTTCAGATAAGTAATATTGATGATGAAAGTGATGAAATGCTAGTATTCATAATCATAGTAATGATGATGATTACAGTAACGATAATAACGATAATGAAAATATGATAATGATAATAGTAATAATAACAGCGATAATAATAGTAATTATAAAAACAATGCTGTTGCTACTGCTGCTGCTGATAATAATAATGATAACATTAATGATGATTATAATAATAGCAATGGTGACAATAAAGACAACGATAATAATGATGATGATAATGATAATAATAATAGTAGTAGTAATGATAATAATAATGATGATATTAACAATGATGATGCTATAATAATGATTAGTATTATAATAATAATAATGATGATTATGATGATAATGATAATGATAATAATAATGATGACAGTAATATAATATGATAATAATAATAATAATAATAGTAATGATAATAATAATAATAATAATAATAATAGTAATGATAATAATAATAATGATAATCAGAATGATATCATGAACTGAAACATATACAAATTACTGAATGCGAAGAACACAAAATGAGATACTGAATCCTTTGTGTCGCAGTATTTCTGAAATCACGCACCTTCGGCCCTCTGCACACAGCCGCCCTCCGTGTCACAATCTTCGGTCTTCCTCTCGATGTCCTGTGTGAAGATTTTTTTTTTCAGTTCTAGCGAGTCTTATATTTGTTAT